AGTTCTCTGTGCCTCTCTCTCACTAGCTTACCTGAAAAAATCCTATTCTTCAAGCTTTATTTTCAGGACCCCCTTCTTTAATTCTCTAAAGTGGTTGAGGCCTTTATTTGTTGGTCCCACAACACTGTTGGTTCCTCTGCCACATACCATGTGGTGGTACTGTAGCTGTTTCCAGTAGGCCCTCCCTTGCTGTTTCCAGTAGGCCCTCCCTTGCCTAATAAGTGAATGGTTTTGGTGCTGATGCTTGTTTCTTCTCAGCAGATCCCCTGGATCCTTCGTTCCCAGTGGAGTTTGTGAGACACGGAGACATCATTCGACTAGAACACAAAGAGTGAGTGTGCTTGTTGCATAATGAGTGGTATGGGCATCAAGGGTGAGGCGTTCTTGTAAGAAATAAAGCATACAGAAGTCTTGCCTGAAGCTCTGGTAATAGAGCTGTGCAGGGATGAGAGAGCCATGTTATCAGGGTGATGAACTAAATAAGCAACCCTCTGCCTGCCTAGCTTGGCTTAGGGGCTTTGCCTTTGAGGGTTCTTTTTAGTTTCTATTTCCTAGAAGAAAAGATAAAATTTGAGGTCCCCAGAGCTGCCACTTATGTGGCTGCCTTGAGAAAATGTAAGCATCTAGTTCTGGGAACACTACGAACGGGTTTATTTCACTAAGTGTTCTCACCAAAGTGACGGAAAATGCCAGGATAACATAAAAACTTGTTAAAAGCACAAAAAGTTGATGAGATATGAAATAGTTATTATTAGGCTAATAATAGAAGTGAAAGGGGAAATCCAGAGAAATAAGTAAGGCGCTGAAGCCACTCTTACCACTCTTACCCTGGTCCCACCAGCTCTTAGCATTGCTTTTTTTTTTCTTTTGTTTTGACTCCCTCCTTTTTTTTTTTTTTTTTTTAGTACAGGGTCTACAGGGTCTTACTACACAGATCAGACTCATAGTGATTCTTCCTGTTTTTCAGCCCTCCCACGTGCTAGGCTTACAGGCGCATGCCACCATGCTCAGTCTCATTCGCTGTCTCAGCACGCCCTGGGGGTGGGGCCAGCCTGGCAGGCCAGGGATAAGCCAGCCCTTGCATCTGCCCAAGCAGGTGCTTTAATTAATCTGCTGACCTGTCTGGCCAGCCCTTGACTGCCTCTTCAGAGGAGTAGTTTTAAAGTCAAAGCTCTAGGCTTACCCAAAGTGGTCAATCTATTAAGTGATCCTTCCCCTAAATTTTTTTTTTGGTGGAACCAGGGATTGAACTCAGGCCCTTGTACTTGCCAGGGAAGCACTTATTCCACTGAGCCATCTCCCTGGCCCCCTTTCCCCTAAATTTGGATAAGGGTAAGTCTTCCCTATCCATTTATCCTCAAGAAAAGTCACTTTGGTAATGAGTGGGCTGAGTAGGAATCTCAAGTTTTTAAGAAGCTGTAACAGTTGATTCTCACATAGATTTGTGGCTCTCATTCATGTCATCTAGGTGATCTCAAAACTCTTAATATGTATATTTTTTAATTTGGTTATCTGGTACAGGGTCTTGCTACACAGCTTATACTTGTCATCCTCCTGTCTCAGCCTCCCCAGCACTGGAATTACAGGCATGCACCTCCATGCCCTGTTTCAGTGGCTGGCACAGGGTTTGGAGTCTGGCACAGCATGTGGTACCAGGGATGGAACCCAGGTTCTTGCACTTGCCAGGCAGTTGCTTAGACCACCGAGCTATCTCCCCAGCCCCAAAATCTTAAAGCTATGGGTTTTGATGAACATAATGTTAGACTGGTAATATCTTCTAGGTACCTGACTAAAAACAAGAATGAATTCTCCCTTGGGAAAGACATTGCAAGCCAGTCCCCAAAGTAATTTTTCAGTGAGAGTCAATAGTGTCAGTCAAAAAATGCATCACTTGAGGAAACAGAGTCCATGCAAAAAACCCCAAGTGTTTCAGAAACAGTAACCGATACAGCTCTGCAAAAAGTTCCTACAATGACAATGTCAGATACAGATTTTTTAAAAACCAGGAAAATCAAGGATTTATAGCTGGGGAGATAGTTCAGTAGAATAAGCGCTTGCCAGGCAAACACAGGGTCCTGAATTCAATCCCCAGTACCGGAATAGAAAAAAAAGGATTTATATATATACATACATTACGTGTGTGTGTGTGTGTGTGTGTGTGTGTGTGTGTGTAGAGAGAGAGAGAGAGATTGTAGTGGTAATCACTTGGATTTTGGGTACTTTAAATCTTCATTAAGCATTTCTATTTATTGTTAATTAAATTTATTGTAATTAAATTATGTTTTTGCAAATCAAAAAAATTTACAGTCACACATACTACTAATGAATAAAAGGATTGTTACAAAATAGTAAATAAATGGCTGAGCTTCATGGTGCATGCCTGTAATTCCATCACTCAGGAGACTGAGGCAGGAGAATTGCCATGAGTTTGAGGCCAACCTGGGCTGTATAATGAATTCAAGATTTTGTCTAAAAAAACTGAAATGAACAAAAAAGAAATAATAAATTAAAGCAAAATTAAATGCCCCTCATTTCCTACAAATTCTCACTTTAAAAAAATGGTGATAGGAGTGAAAAAGTAAGTGTGGGTAGGGTATCTACTGTAGATGCAGGTAGGTTACCAGTATTAATGTTCTCCCCACGGGGCCAGGGAGATGACTCAGTAGAATAAGCACTTGCCTGGCAAGCACAAGGGCCTGAGTTCAACCCCCGGTTCCACCAAAAAAAAAAAAAGTTCTCCCCCCCAAAAAAAACAAGATCTGCCTTGTTAGTCAGGCAAACTAAGTGTTTCAAATGTGTGAAACTTACCCCCCAGGCTCCTGAGGCTGGCCCTCTCCTGGTATGTAGTCTGATACTCCCACCATCTGTCCTTGATCCAAGTCTTTTTTCTGCTCCAGTTGTCTTAGTCACTTTTCTCATTGCTGAGACAAAATACCCAACACCCAAAGTTAAATGGGGAAAGGTTTATTTAGCTCACAGTTTGTAGAGGTTTCAGTCCATAATCGGGTGGCTCCAAGGCAGGGTGGCATGGCAGAGGACAACATAGCGAGAAAAGAAAGCAAAAACAATAAGAGAGGGGAAAGCAAGCCTCTTTCCAGCCCTTTCACTGAGTGCCGCTACCCACCTTAGGGCAGGTGTAGCACTTACACCCATAATCCCAGCATTAGACCATGAGTCAATCATAAACTCTAGAGCTCCTCCCCCCATGGTGGCATGAAGCTTGGAGCACATCCAGATACAAACCATAACATCGATTCTCTGGATATTTCTTGTGATTGACTAGCCAACAAGTTCCTCATGTGTTAGCATTGATAGTTCTGATTAGAAATATTTTAACCCTAACAGATGCATGTACCTGATAAAAGGAGAAACACTGTCTACCTCTTCTTTCCGGATAACAGCCCTTCTCTCTTCCAACTTCTAGGACTTCTCGGAACTTGCACAGTCATTACCATGAAGCCCCTCTGACCCGAAAACACTTTCAGGTCACCGGCTATGGCATAGTAAGTGAATGCCTGGCACAAGCAGGCTGTAACAGTTGTGGGGTTTGACTCAGAGCCATGTGGCAGGACATAACCTTCCCAGAATTCTGGCATGTTTCTGAGGATCAAAGGCTTTGCATGGTCTTAACATTTGAGAATTTTTTGGTTAAGTTTGCTATGAAAAAAGCAGCCTATAAGGTCTGGTCATTTTTATTTCAGTCCTCAAATAACAACCATGTCATTTACATATTCCAATACTTAATAAAGTTCAAATATGAATAATGTTTGTATATCTTAAAATCATAAGAGACACAGAAGCCAAAATCTATGGTATGGCTCCACCTGTTTATCTTTTGCTGAATCCCAAATTTTTATTAGCTTTACTTTTAAGAATCTCTTCCTGTTCTATATTGGGCTGTTATCCACATAGCTTTTGTTTCTTATTATCTCAGTAAAATGCACTTAATAGAGTAAAAGTACAGATAATAGAGTAAAACTTCGACTGGGTGTGGTGGTACATGTCTGTAATCACAGTACTTTGGGAGGCTGAGGCAGGAAGATCACAAGCTTGAGCTTACCTAGGGCAACTTAGACCTTGTCTCACAATAAAAATTAATTAATAAATACAAGGGGGGCCAGGGAGATGGCTCAGCAGAATAAGCGCTTCCCTGGTAAGCTCAAGG